GGTGCAAAGTGGGATACAGTTATGTATCTGTGACTTAGCAAAGGCAAACACACATGTGCTGGTTAACACACTACATAAGAATATAAATATAACAACCTATATAAGAGTTATACAATAAAGATGCAGGCAGCTCTTGCACCCTTGTGCTCTGCTCTGTTCCATGCTGCCTGCTCTTGTTGCTGATGTCTTGCACATGTGTGTTTTTTCTTTTTTTTAATCTATTAAGATACATTAAAAATACATTGGTTGTCACAGCATCTCACTGTGCAGCTCCAACTTGTATTGATCCTCCTGCTTTCAGCCTCTCTAGTGCTGGGATTATAGGCATGTGCCACCATGGCCAGATTCTGGCTGGCTTAGCTGGCCCTGGGGGTGGGGCTGTCAGCATGTGGTGCTGCAGATTGAACCACGGTCCCTGAGCTTGCCTAAGCAGGTGCCTTAGTCCACTGAGCTATCTCAACAGTTCCACACATGTGTGTTCTTTAACCTGGGGAACCTCATCTTGGGCATCTCCTTCAGCAGGCTGGGTACAAGTAAACAAACAAAAGCGAACAAACTGGGATGTGAATTTACCTGTGTTCACCGGGTTCAATGCCCTACAACTCAAATCTATAATTGTTATTTGTTATGGTTTGTGTCTAGCTGTCCCCCACAAAGCCTCATGCAGTCATGGGGCGGCCTTCTAGACTTTGTGATTAATTCATGATCCAGAGCTGGGATTATGGGTGTGAGTGCTACTGGGATGTTGGGTATGTTACACCCAGCCTGGGGCAGATAGCCTGAATGCAACTTAAGGGAGACAGGTTTGCTCTCTGTAGCCATTGTTGTTGCTATTCCTCCCATTTGCTCTTGCTGTTTTGCTGTTTTCTGCTGCCATGAACTGCTGTCCTCTGCCATGTGCCAGTCTGCCTTGGAGCCAGTTGAGTATGGACTGAAGCTTCCAGTAATTGTGAGCTAAATAAACCTTTCCTACCTTCATTTTGGGTGTTGGGTATTTGTCCCAGCAATGAGAGAAGAGTAACTGAGACATTATTCATCATGTTATCCAAGTAAAAGAGAAAAACTATAATCTCTTGAATAAAGAAAACTATTTGATAAAATTTATAAACTTGTGAAAAGATATGTATTAAACTAGCACTAGAAGGGAGCTTTCTCAACTTTATAGCAAGTACCTGCAAAAGTGTATAGTAAACATCACTTTAAAGGCCAAGGCTCAGTTGCAGAATCCTTTCCTAACATGTGTAGGGCCCAGGACTTGATCCCCAGCAAAGTTTAAAAAGGGAGTCATGAGCATCATGCGTATATATAATTGTATTGGAGGGGCCAGGGAGATGGCTCAGTAGAATAAACGTTTCCCTGGCAAGTACATGGGTCTGAGTTCAATCCCCAGTTCTGCCAAAAAATAAATAAATAATAATAATAATAATAATTGTATTGGAGGTACAGCCAACATAGTACAAAAAAAAAAAAAGTACACTTAAAAAAAGTTCAAGACATCTATTGTACAACATAGTGACTCTACTTAACAACAATGTATTACATTCCTGAAAGTTGCAGGGGCAGGGCATACAGCTTATTGATACAGCATGTGCCAGGTATGCATGAGGTCTAGGATTTGATCCCCACACCAAAAAGGGGCACATATTTCTATGAAAATAGATTTGAAATGTTCTCATTGAAGAAGATCTTAAAAGAAGAAAGGTTTCATGCAAAGAATTAACAATCAGAATGATAGACTTCTTGATGGAATTGCTAGAAAATAATAAAGTAATGCCTTCTAAATTCTCAGGAGATATGAGTTCTAAAGAGAACTTATACCCAGCCAAAATATGAAGGCTCAATAAAAAATTTACAGATATGCAAAAGAAGTTTCTTACAAACAGTATTCCAAGAATTATCATACAATATGTTCCACAAATGTATAATTGAAGGAAGAGGAAAACAAAGTTCAAAATATGATGGGGAAGTATGAACCAAATGTGACAGCTCTGTAACACAGCAACTCAGAAAAGAAAAGCTCAAGGAGAGGAATCTTACAGAATTTGAAATTGTAGACACACCTATGATATGTTGGAAAGCAGTAGGAGGACATTCAAAAATGGGGCTGGGATTGAATTAGTGATAAACACATGGCAAATAAACAAAAGCAAACAAAAACCAAGATGATATTTACATAAACTATATTACAAGGCTACTATAAATACTGTAGTATAGTGTTTGAGTCATAATTGTAAACATTAAATATTCAATAAATGAACAATATAGTATCAATGACTGTATTAGAAAGTTAGGCAGACCAGAAGATTGCCTATGTGTAGCAGAGACAGAGGGTGAGATAAAATAAAACTAAATCTTTAAATTCTGGAGTAGGAAATCAAGAAATAATTCTTAAAACTGAAAAAAAAAAAAAAAAATTAAGACTTGGCAAACATAACCATGCTACTCGGAAATACAGACTTAAATATCAAAAAAATCAGTTACAAATGTTGAAAGCAGCTGCCTGAGTGTAGTGAGAGTAAAAAGAGTGAATACTTGGTATTTATGCTAATAGGCCTTGGATAGATGTAGCACTCTTTAATTTATGGGCATATAAAATAAACAAAGTAGAAACTATATAAAAAACAAAAGGGGCCAGGGAGATAGCTCAGGCCTGCCAGGCAAGTGCAAGGACCTGAATTTGATCACTGGGACCACATGCCGTGCCGACCACTGAAACTAGGCATGGTGGCGCATGCCTGTAATCCCAGTGCTGGGGAGGTTGAAACAGGAGGGTCATTCTGAGTCTGAGCTGCATGGGAAGACCCTGTACCAAACAAATAATAAAAAAAAAAAAAAAAAGAAGAAGAAAAAGAACAAAAGGACTGATGCAGTGTATCATTACATAATAATATGAAAGTATCCAATGCTTTATATGAATGATTACCTGAACACAAAAAATCACAAGAAACTAGTTTATTTTTTTTTCTTCCCCCCCCCCCCCAAGAAACTAGTTTAACGGCTTTCTTTTTTTCTATTTTAGTACAAGGTCTATAGGGTCTCACCACACAGATCAGACTCATTGTGATCCTCCTGTTTTCAGCCTCCCAAGTGCTGGGATTACAGGCGCACACCCAGTCTCAATTGTGTCTCAATTCGTCCCAGGGGCAAGGCCAGCACAGCACACCGAGGATCAAGCCCTGGCCGCAGCACTCTGCCAAAGCAGGCACTTTAGTCCGCTGAGCTATCTGGCTAGCCTTTTTTTTTTTTTTTTTAAATTTTAAAAAATCTTTTATATATTTGGTACAGGGTTTCACTATGCAGCTTTGACTCATAGCTGATTTTGGTGGCCAGCATTCTGTGCCCAGGGTTTAGGGGCCAGCATCACATGTATAGGAGAGCGGACCTGGGTCCTTGCCTTTGCAAGGCAGTCACTTAAGACTGCTGAGCTATTTCCCCTGCCCAAGTTTAACTGTTGAAGTCCAAAATTACAAGGCTGGGATGTAGCTCAGCGATAAGAGTGATTGCCTAGCATGCACAGGTCCTGTTTTCAATTCCCAGCATCACAAAACGAAACAAAGAAAATTATAAGTTACTCTCGAATGTCCTAAAGAAAAAGCTAATAATACAAGATGAATTATTCATATCTTCAGAATGAAGGTTCTACGTCACTGTATTAGTTATAGTAGGATATTAACATGCCATATGTAGATTCTAATAATTACAACAGACTACACCAATATGTAATAATAAAGAGCATCTCTTTCTGGGAAAAAAATTCCAGGGAAAAACATCATTCCAGGAAAAATTAAAATCCATAAAAAGCCTGGACTTAAAACTTTTGTTTTCAGATTAATTATAAAAAGTAGCCCCCCCCCCAAAAATAAAAAAGTGGGCCAGTCACAGAATCAGTGGCTCAGGGCTGAAATATTCTGAGAAAAACAATTGAGTACTACGTTCTAGTCCAAAATTAAAAAAAGGTCAAAGCATCAAATTCTCTAATGTTGGGTGGACCAGGATGTTATTCTTTTTATTTCTGATCTGATAAGATTAGAATAACTCTATAATAATTACAAACATGAACGATTTGTATGATCTGAGGAAAAATCAGAGTATCACCCTATAAAGATTAAAAACAAAAACTACTACTAGAATCCTCAGAAAATATCAAAACAGTTACTTTATAATTCTAGAAGATAAACATGCCTAGTAAGTATGTTTAATGCTTATTTAGGATTCAAAAGAACTAAACGTACTAAATTTGTAATAGTAATTTTATTTATTTTAATTATTTTTGTAATCATAATTTTAACAGCTTAAAGGTACTTAAGTTTGTAATAAAAGTTTAAAGTTTTGAAAACTGTGTTTTTAAATTAGACTTCTTTTGTCTCTAGATATGGTTCATCCTTTGTAATCACAAGTTCTATATTAAAGGATTCAACTAAGTACAGAGCAAAAATATTTTGAAACAAATTTTGTTTGCAATGAAGAGGCTTGTCATTATTCCCTAAAAATTATTTCAGTAACTATTTACACAGCATTTACATTGTATCAGGCATTATACTAACATAGAGATGATTTAAGCATAAGGGAGATGCATATAGGTCATATGCAATTCTATACCATTTTACATTAGGGAATGAGCGCCCACAATTTTGGTATCACTATGTGTGCACACATGTGCTTTGTGTCCATGCATACATACACAAATTCTTGTCTCCATGTGTTCTAGAGCCAATCCCTACAAATATCAAAGGACAAATGTACATGCATCCAATTATTTGACGCTTAAACACAACGTGAATAGTTCCGAATGCTCTTCTCCACAAATAGACATTCCAGAATCTAATTAACAGTTACAAGCCTTTTCAAATGAGAGACTGTCTTAGTTAACTTTATGTAATCAACTCCTATCACAGTATCTGTGGTACACAGCCAAGTTCTCAATAAATGTTCCTTAAGTGAAAGCATGAATAATTATAAAACCAACCAAACATAATATATTGAACTCTGATCTTCCTTACCTGTTTTCTTTTTCCCCTTTTGACCTGGAACTGGCTCCAAGCTATCTTGGCCTTTTCTCATTAACATGGCGAGTGATGCATCATAAGCTCTGAAAAGGTCCACAACTTCATGTAAGGCAACATCTGTTATTAAATCACAGCTCAGGACCAACACATCTGTCTGTCAAATGAAAATGAAGAAGGGTAAAGTTAACATTCCAAAGGACAATGGACCACACAAATTATTACAAAAGAAACTTACAATGGCTTAGAAGCACACAAACCAGGCAATATTTCTTTTTTTTCTTTTTCTTTTCTTTTTTGAGACAGGCTCTCAACTCTGTAGTTCAAGCTGTCCTTGAACTCCCCGTGATCCTTTTGCCTCAGGCTTCCAAGTGTTGGGATGATAGGAATTGACCACATGCCTCTTTTTTGGGAGGAGGTGTTTTGAGACAGAGAGTCACTGAACCTACAAACTTATTCTACAGATAGGATGAGTTTAAGTTTCTTATCTCTGTTTTGGGAATATCCTTCGACCCTGTCCTGTGACATTTTCTCTTGGTGAGCTAGTAACAGGAGGTAAAAGGCATGGGGCATACACCTTTGCTAAGTCCCAGCCAAAGGCTTTTTATTTTTTATCTTCCTTACATCTCCCAACCTCCTACCCCCTGATGTCTTGTTTCTTTCTCTCTCTCCCTCTCTGAAACTCTGCTGTAGTCTCAGGGCTTCTGTCTGTCTTTTTTTTTTTTTGGGGGGGGGGGTGGAACTGGGGATTGAACTCAGGCCCTTGCACTTGCCAGGCAAGCACTTATTCTACTGAGCCATCTCCCCGGCCCCTGTCTCTTTTTTCCCTCTCTCCTTTTAAGCAGTTAAAGCTCCAGAGCACCTTGAAAAATGAGCACCCACATGTAAAAGTGCTGTAAGCAGCTGAATTAGATCGACATATTCTAGGTAGTCAGACCAGGCCAGGTCCTCAAGGAGACAATATGGAAGACAAGGTGAAGACACCCTGTCCCGTATTCATGCCCGCTTGCTACGTGACTCGCTTCCCCATTTGGTATTGGATTTAATCAATTTTACCTGAGCAATGGTGCTTGCGATCTCATTGGTTAACCATAGTTTTGTCTTACCTCATGCCCACCTAAGCAAGTTCCCATGTTCTCCACCACCTTAGACTTGCCTTACCACATGGTTTTCCTCTATAAAAGTCCCTGGAAGAGGCAGCTTCTCAGGGACAACCCACTAGGGCCCCCCTCCTGTCCCTCTCTTGGACAGGAACTTTCTTTCCCCAAGTAAATATATTCTGCTCATAATCTCCGTTTGTTCCTAAAATTTATACTTTGGTTTTAGAGAACACAAACTTGTGCCAGGTACCTTTTAGGTTGGGAAATCATTTTTCTCCTATACCATTTGGAGGTCATCCACCGCAGATCATTTTTTGCTCCTTGTATCATAAGTAGGGAAGACAAGAAGCACTGACTCTCTCTAACTGGGCAAGCAAAGAGGTATGAAAAGAACACTAGTAAGGAGTATCTTCCTTAGCTATTCTTTCAGGTAGGCCACTCTGTTCCTTGATCATATGGAACTAAAATGTGCTCATAAGGAAGACAAATAAGAACAGATCCAAGCAAACAGTGTCCCCAAAAGTTTTTCATGCAGCCAGCATGAGAAACTTTATCTAGAACCAGCAAATAGCTAAGTGGATTAAAGCGCTGTAAGCAAGTGCAAGGGCCGGAGGTTCGATCCTGGGCCTGCTGTACTGGCCTCACTCCTGGGATGCAGGGAGACAGCAATTGAGACTGGGTGTGGCAGTACGTGCCTGTAATCCCAGCTCTTGGGAGGCTGTAAACAGGTAGATCACTAAGAGTCCGATCTAGTAATGAGACCGTGAACACCCTGCAGACCCTTCCCTAAAAAAATACAAAAAAAAAAAAGCAACTTTATCTAGAGACACAGCGGAGAGAACAGGTCTTGGGGTGACACCTGAGGAAGCAATCTCCTCAAATCACGTACATATTTGGGTCCTGGACAATTTAGATAAAAGAAGATCCTATAAACTGTTCTTATCAACCATTCCTCATTCTCAAGACCAAAGGGCAAACTGGGTGTGGCGGTGTACCTATAATCTCAGTACTGGGGAGGCTGAGGCAGGAGGACCACCACAAATTCAAGGTCAGCTTGGGCTCCATAGTGAGTTCAAGGCCAGGCTGAACTAGATAGTAAGAACTTGTCTGAAAATACCTAGGAAAAACAAACAAAAAAACTCCAAAGGGCATAGCCAGCCAACTATGGACTAAAACCTCTATAAACTGTGAGATGAAATAAACATGTCCTCCTTTAAAAAAATAAAATGCACCAGCCCAGCCCCTGGACAAGCTGAGCCGGAGAACAAGTCCAGGGAGTGGTGGCACCTGTCTGTAATACCAGCATTGGAGAGGCTGAAAACAGGAAGATCACTAGAGTTTGAACTGTGTAGTGAGACCCTGCACAAAATACAATCAATCAATCGATTGATAGATCAATCAAAGCAAAAAACTGAAAAGCACAAGAGCTTGGTCCATCTGAAGCAACAGCTCCCCCTTTTGGGTGGCTGGGAACATGTTCTAAACTGTTTAGAGTCAAGTGGTCACTCAGCTGATAATTGATGTAAGACCTGGTAGAGTCTACGGACTCAAATCAGGAAGGAACCCACTGGTTTTCTTTTTGCTTTTTCTCTTCTCTCCCCTAAAAGCCCCATTTTCCTTCTTGTCCTTTCTTACCCTTTCCCAACCAAAGGCTCTCATCTGACAGAGAACTCAAATCCTTTAATCTTTCTTCTCATGTTAGTTAGCTGGGAATGACAGGGAGATAAAGAGTGAAAAATCAGTAGAAACTGGGAACTCAGGACGTTCTCATGCAGCTTTGAGGGACCTAGGTGGAGCGGGGATGTGACTTCCTGGTATGTCCTACCAGTGTACTGATGCTGGCGCTGGCTGAAGAAGAGAAGGAAAGTAAAGTTGTGCTCCAGTTTGACAAAGGCCCAAATTCCTGCTGTTACCCTCCTCTATTTCCCTTTTCTCACTGTTATTGTTTATAAGTCTATGATGTTGACAGGGAAAAAAAGTACTCAGAGTAACTTGCTATTAAGAAAGCATTGTTGGGTCATGGAGCTAGCTCAGCATTCTAAATGCCTGCCTAGGCAAGTACAAGGACCTGTGTTTCATCCCTGGTGCCGCATGCTGTGGTGGCCTGACCCGGGTGTGCCAAGCTGGTCCTCAAGACCCAGTGTGGCGGTGCATGTCTGCAATCTCAGTGCTGAGGAGGCTAAAACAGGAAGATCCCTACAAGTCTGGGCTGCCTAGTGAGACCCTGTACTAAATACATTAAAAAAAGAAGAAATCAGGGGCCTGGCCCTAGCTCAGTTCTTTAAGTGGCTGCTTCGGCAAAGCTTTCAGCCTCAGGTTGCTGTAGTTCGATCCCCACAACACTCCAGCCAGCCAAACCACCCCTGAGGGCATTCGGAGCAAAAAAAAAAAAAAAAAGAAGAAATCATTGTTGCCAGGCGTGGTATATTCTAGTCTTGTCAGTGTTTCAGCCTGATAAAGAAATCTAAATTTCACCTTAAGAATAAGAATTAAGGGAGCCTGCCCCTTAGCTCAGTTCTTTAAGTGGCTGCTTCCATAAAGCAGTCAGGCTCAGGTTGCTGTGGTTCGATCCCCACAACTCAAGCCAGACAAACCTGCCCTGAAGGCATTCAGAAAAAAAAAAGAGTAAGAATTAAGTACTATATAAAGATTTCTATATAGCTATAAAGCTACTTATTACTGATTTTTCATTTAAATACTTTTATGTTCCTCAACTGCATAAACTTCCTAAAAATATAAAACTAAAGTTTTTTTAATCATATTGCCGATCTACAGATTAAAATTCTTTATAATGACTTTTTCAGGTTTATGTTTATATGATTATCATATAAATGTATTATGATAGTTGTACCTAAACATTGTGCAGGCTAGGTAGTTTTACTTTAGTAAGTAAAGATTGAGCATTAGTCACCTATATAGTTCATCTGTAAATAAGTACATCCTATTTAGGCACTTTATTATTTTTTTTAAGTAGCAAATTTAGAGGAGAATGTACTTCATCTAATATATTTTTTTTTGGTGGGGGGAACCAGGGATTGAACTCAGGCCTCACGCTTGCCAGGCAAGCGCTTATTTTGCTGAGCCATCTCCCCGGCCCTCATCTAATATTTTGTAATTGGATAAAAGTAATCTATTTAGTTACTTTATACTAAAGTAAGAATTTAAATGTATTTTTAGAGATGATAAAAATAACCTAATGGTTGTATCATCATAATTATTATCCTATTGCTATGTTTGCTCTTGAACAAAAATATGACTTCGAAAAGACAACCAAAGCAGTATGCATCTGTTTGTTTTTTGGCAGTAAGGAAGATTAAACTCAGGACCTTGTGTTGCTAGGCAAGTGCTTATTCTACTGAGCTATCTCCCAACCCCCCAAAGCAATATGTTAGGATAGAGGCCATCACCTACAGTATTGATAGACCATGACGCTGACTCCTAATACTAATTGAGACCATGATTAAAAGAAGAAGTAGGGCTGGCGAGATGGCTCAGTGGTCTAAAGCACCTACTTGGAACAAGCTTGGCAAAGCACAGGGACTGCGGTTCGATCCCCCAGCACCACATGCCAGCCAGCCGCGCCCCCTGGTGGGCTGAGCTGGCCACACACACACACACACACACACACACGCACACACACACAATAAATAAACTTTAAAAAAAAAGAAATTAAAAAAAAAAAAAGAAGTAGCAGGGCTGGTGAGATAGCTCAACAGACTAAAAGCGCTTCCTTAGGCAAACACAAGGGACCATGGTTTGATCCCCAGCACCACAGGTTGAGCCAGTCACAGTTTGGGTGTGGTGGCACATGCCTGTAATCCCAGCACTGGGGAGGCTGAAAGCAGGAAGATCACACCAGTCTGAGCTACATAATAAGACACTGCAAAAGTCATGCCCAGGATTCAATCCCTGGGCCTGCCATGCGGGCCCTGCCCCCAGGGCTCGCTGAGATGGCATCTGAGACTGGGTGTGGTGGCGCATGCCTGTAATCCCAGCTCTTGGGAGGCTATAAACAGTGGATCACTACTACTTTGATCTAGCAGAGAGACCCTGAACA